ATAAGGCCAAACAAGAGAATGAAAAAATGGTTTGATTTATACATATCCTATAAGGAAAAAAATTAAGACAATTATCAAATAAAAAACACACACAACCAAACAATGCAGATTTGTGCCATCAATATTGTAAAGAACTTAAAAAAGTACAAAAATACCCTCAGACAAAAGAGAGAACAGTACATCCAAAATCAGTTAAAAACTATTGAAGAGTCTGTAAATTCTAACAATTTCTGGGACAATTGGTATTTTCTGAATAAAAAAACAACATGAACAAACTGCCATACAAAATGGAGACACCTGGAAAAATCACTTTGAACAACTTTATAGCAAACTAAAAAATTAACCCAGAACAACCCCAAATATATGAAAAAAATGATCAATATGGAAAATACACTTGGTAAATACCAAAACCCATTAGACTACCCCATTACAGAGAAAGAACTGATTGATAAAATACAGGCCCTGCAAACCAAAAAAGCAAGTGGACCAGATGGCATCCTCAATGAAATGCTCAAGAATACAGATCACAAATTAAGAATGCCCTTACTAAAACTGTTCAACTTCGTTCTGAGTGTTGGTCATTTCCCTGACACCTGGAATAAAGGACTCATCACACCCATATTCAAAAGTGGAGACATATTATATCCAAACAATTACAGAGGCATCTGTATAAGTAGTAATCTGAGGAAGTTGTTTTGCAGCATCATCAACACAAGACTCATACACTTCCTTATCGAGCACAATGTCTTAAAAAGCGCAAAAGTCAGATTGGATTCTTACCAAATTACTGAACATCAGACCATATTTTTACACTGCATACCCTGATTGACAAATATATCAAAACCAAAATATTTGTTTGCGTTTGTAGATTTACAGAAGGCCTTTGATTCAATTTGGCACCAAGGTCTACTGTCTCAACTTTCAGAAATTAGAATAGGGGGGCAAAACATACACCATCATTAAAAACAATGTACTCAAACAAAACAAGCAGCAGCAGCAGCAGCACGTGGCCTCACACAATATGAGTCCATGATAAAGTTCCTCCTCTATGCCCATGATCTGGTCCTGCTGTCTCCAACAGAAGAGGGTCTACAGCAGAACCTAGACATCCTGCACACATTCTGTCAGACCTGGGCCCTGACTATGAACCCAACTAAAACTCTAATATTTCAGAAAAGACCTAGATGTCAGGGAAAGAGATATAATTTCACCCTTGGTATGACCAAAATTGATCATGCCACAAGCTCGTCATACCTTGGGCTGAAATTCAGTGCAAATGGAAACCTTAACTTGGCTGTGAATGAACTGAAAGAGAAAGCAAGAAGGACTTTCCATGCCATTAAAAATCTATTCAATTTCAAATGATAATTAGATTCTGGCTTTTATTCCAGGCAGTTATTGAACCAATTGCACTATATGGCAGTGAAGTATGGGGTCCTCTCCTGAATCATGAATTCGAAAAATGGGACAAAAAAACACAATTGAAGCCCTGCATACAGAGTTCTGTAAAAACATCCTCAAAGTACAGCAGAACACACCTGATGCATGCAGGGTAGAATTAGGCCAATACCCTCTATTAAACCACATTGATAAAAGAGCCATCAAATTTTGGAAAACATCTAAAATTGAGAGACCCCAACTCATCATTTTAAAGCCCTGAAAAACCATGAAATGAACACTGAAAGCAGCCTCCTCGCTCAGATAGTATTGAGACTCCACAAACAAACTAATCTAATCTAACACAACTAACAATAATCAGCCTCAGGACACTGAACCCCTCATCCACAGAATCTGGCCCAACCCAATGATTAATGCACAAAAAGAAAACTATTGGACTGGAACAACCAAAAAACAAAGTAAACTACTATTTTATCTGGGTGTAAAACATGCAGAATACAGCAGAACACCCGAACATATTCAGAGACAACAAGTTGGCATGGTACATCAGCAAAGTACATCGATGACTGCCACAAAAAGAGGGATGAGTCGAACAAACAGTGAAGTGGTGAGCTCATGAGCTCACACACAAACACACACACCACTCATAGCCCATAGACTGTACTTTTTTGTTGTTTATTTATTTATTTATTTATTATTTCTTCACTTGATAGTCCTATAATTTGTTTTCTGTTCAGGTTTTATCCTTTACTTGCATGAATGCTTTGACAATACATTGTGCAATACATTGTCATGCCAGTAAAGCTCGTTTGAATTTGAAAAAAATTTGAATTTGAATTTCAAGGCGTCAGGAGCTTTGGAAACTGGTTTTCCATATAATCACAGATGTGCACTTGAGTGAATTACTTTTCAATCACATTTTTCACATGTTTAATAAAAAAATGATATTAAATATGAATAATTTGATATAAAAAAAAGTGTTATAAAGTTAAAATCGTGAAAAAGAAAGATTAAAAATTATGCTCTAACAAACTGTTTTCTTAACATGAGGAGGTGCTTTTAAAATTGTGCCCATCAAAAAGCTATTCAGAGAGTTTCAAGGCGCCAGGGGCTTGGGAAAGTGGTTTTTCTAACAAACACATATATGCACTTGAGTGAAGTACTTTTCCATGACACTTTTCACATGTTTAGGAAGAATAATGATTATTAAGTATGAATGATTTTCACCAAATGCATTAATTGATATTAAAGATGAATGAATTTAATAAAATGCATTAATTGGTATTAGAGTGTTATAACGTCAAAATCGTGAAAAATGAAGTTTCGAAAGTCATTAATCACCAAATTTGCACTAACACTTTGTTTTCTTAACAAATCTGAACTTGCTTTTAGAAGTGTACGCTTGGTGGGCTGAAAACGCTATTTAGAGAGTTTCAAGGCGCCAGGTGCTTGGGAAAGTGGTTTTTCTAACAAACGCGTATATGCACTTGAGTGAAGTACTTTTCCATGACACTTTTCACATGTTTACTGAAGAATAATGATATTAAGTATGAATGATTTTCATAAATTGCATTAATTGATGTTAAATATGAATGATTTTAATAAAGTGCATAAATTGGTATTAGAATGTTATAAAGTCAAAATCGTGAAAAATGAAGTTTCGAAAGTCATTATTCACCAAATTTGCACTACTACACTGTTTTCTAAACAAATCTGTATGTGCTTTTAGAAGTGTACAATTCGTGGGCTGAAAACGCTATTCAGAGAGTTTCAAGGCGCCAGGTGCTTGGGAAAGTGGTTTTTCTAACAAACGCATATATGCACTTGAGTGAAGTACTTTTCCATGACACTTTTCACATGTTTAGGAAGAATAATGATATAAAGTATGAATGATTTTCACAAAATGCATTAATTGATATTTAATATGAATGATTTTAATAAAGTGCATTAATTGGTATTAG